TGATCTTTTCCATGGGTCCAGATCTTCATCATCTGGACCCATGGAAAAGAAGCCCTTGAGGAATTCCACCATGATTTCAACAATTTCCATCCCACCACCAACCTCAGCCTGGTCCAGTCCACACAAGAGATCCACTTCCTGGACACTACAGTGCTAATAAACAATGGCCACATAAACACCACCCTATACCGGAAACCTTTACCTGCAGAAGTAAAGAAACAGATTGATAGAGCCAGAAGAGTTCCCAGAAGTTACCTATTACAGGACAGGCCTAACAAAGAAAATAACAGAACGCCACTAGCGGTCACCTTCAGCCCCCAACTAAAACCCCTCCAACGCATTATTAAGGATCTACAACCTATCCTAAAGGATGACCCAACACTCTCACAAGTCTTGGGAGACAGGCCAGTCCTTGCCTACAGACAGCCCCGCAACCTGAAGCAAATACTCACCAACAACCACATACCACACAACAGAACCACTAACCCAGGAACTTATCCTTGCAACAAAGCCCGTTGCCAATTGTGCCCACATATCCATTCAGGGGACACCATCACAGGGCCTAATAACATCAGCCACACTATCAGAGGCTCGTTCACCTGCACATCCACCAATGTGATATATGCCATCATGTGCCAGCAATGCCCCTCTGCCATGTACATTGGTCAAACTGGACAGTCTCTACGTAAAAGAATAAATGGACACAAATCAGATGTCAAGAATTATAACATTCATAACCAGTCGGAGAACACTTCAATCTCTCTGGTCACGCAATCACAGACATGAAGGTCGCTATCTTAAAACAAAAAAACTTCAAATCCAGACTCCAGCGAGAAACTGCTGAATTGGAATTCATTTGCAAATTGGATACTATTAATTTAGGCTTAAATAGAGACTGGGAGTGGCTAAGTCATTATGCAAGGTAGCCTGTTTCCTCTTGTTTTTTCTACCCCCCCCCCCCCCCAGATGTTCTGGTTTAACTTGGATTTAAACTTGGAGAGTGGTCAGTTTAGATGAGCTATTACCAGCAGGAGAGTGAGTTTGTGTGTGTATGGGGGTGGGGGGGATGTGAGAGAACCTGGATCTATGCAGGAAATAGCCCGACTTGATTATGTAAAGAGTTGTCACTTTGGATGGGCTAGCACCAGCAGGAGAGTGAATTTGTGTGGAGGGTGAGAAAACCTGGATTTGTGCTGGAAATGGCCCACCTGTTGATCACTTTAGATAAGCTATTACCAGCAGGACAGTGGGGTGGGAGGAGGTATTGTTTCATATTCTCTGTGTGTATATAAAGTCTGCTGCAGTTTCCACGGTATACATCTGATGAAGTGAGCTGTAGCTCACGAAAGCTCATGCTCAAATAAATTGGTTAGCCTCTAAGGTGCCACAAGTACTCCTTTTCTTTAAACTGAATTAGGGAACTATGGTTAACCATGGGCCAGCTAGAATTATGCATAATATAGTTTGTCCTGCCAGTATGGCTGGATTAATCACCTGAGGACCATATTTCAGAGGATGTACACCCACACTGGTCAGCCAAACTGTGTTCGAAGTCAGTGGATTTGGATTCATGTTTGAAGTGAGCTCACCACTGCCCCCTAATGCAGGTAAAGGCCGGGGTAAATAGGGCCTAGACCATGCAAACTTTCGCATTCATTTGACTGGGGTTTTTTTTGGTTGACATTCACGTACCGTTATCTGTCTTTACCATCATCTGTTACAAAAGATGTACTGTGCTGTATTTAATGTGCAATCTGCATGCACCTCTGTCAAAAACGTGGGCTACTTACTGCCTGACCAAAGAATTCACTTTGGTCTCAAAACAAAGTCTGCAAACGGAGTCCCTAATAGTACTGCTTGGAAAAACAAAGTGAACATTTCATCAACTTTTTTTTTTAATGTCAAAAAATCTCTGGTTCTTTGCAAGGTGAGAATGAGCTCATTGTACTGCAAGATCCGACTGATTGCCCTCCCAGTTACCCAGCAATCACTGTCGAACCCCCAAAACTGAGCTCAGAAACCAGAGCCCCAAGAAATGGCCTTATAGCATCACAGACATGGAAGACTGGAAGGGACCGCAATAGGTCTTCTAGTTCAGTGCCCTGCACTTACGTTTACTCCGGGCAGGATGAAGTAATAACTCGACCAGTCCTAGTTATGTTCAGCCTTGAGGGGTTAGACAATTATCTCAAGGCCAGGGGCCACAGTCAATACTTTAACCGCTTCCCTTGCCCCAGGCACACAGGAGTTGGACATAGGGGTGCTGCTGCACCTCCTGGCTTGAAGTAGCAATCACAACCCAAATACGTGGCTTCTGCCTCCAGCACCCCCACGGTAAAAATTGTTCCAGCACCAGTGCTCAGGCAGAGCCGGTCAAACACCTCTCCTGCTGTCCCCAGGGCTCCCAGCTCCTAGTAGGGAAGAAGGAACGGAGCAGCAGCTTCTCCTCCCTCCCCTGCGAAGCAGCAGGTGCCAGCTGGGGAGCAGTTGTGAAACTGCAGCAGGGGAGGGCCAGAAAAGCTACTCCTAGGAGGCTGTTTTTAGCTTACTAGTGCTAAGGGTGATGTGGGAAGAAGCCAGACCACCATACGGGACCATTTAGTAAATTCATCCCTGGTATAATTCCTTGGAAATCAATGGACACTGGGCTAAACAATAATTGCTTTTGTCCTGTTATTACACATGCTTGGTCTCAGTCTTAATGGCAGCCTGGTTTCTAGTAGGCATTCTTCACTCTCGAGAGACCATGGATGCACCCCTGAGAAGTAAAGAATTTACTCAGTTGGTTTTTATGGCAGCCGGGACTGTGGCTGAAGACACCCACTCGAGAGACCATCGCTGCAGCAATAGATGGGGTGTTGCGCTGGGAGTCAGGAGCCCTGGGTTTTATTCCTGCCCCTGTTGCTGACCTGCTGGGTGAGCTTGTACAAGGTGACGTCACTTCAGTGCCCTTGTTTCCCCAACTGTAAAATGAGGATATTGATGCTGACCTCCTTTGTTACGTGCTTTTTGAGACCCATGGATGAAGAGCACTGTGCAAGAGCTACGTGTTATAACTATTGGTTTCCCCTCTAACCCTTCAACTTTCTTGAAGTATAAGCTGTTTGGGGGCAGGGAGTGTCTCTCACTATGTTTGTAAAACACCTAGCACCATGATCTTAGTTGGGGCCTATAAGAGCTGTACTCTAATACAAATAGATAGAAATACAGTTTGTGTATAAGCCTCCCTCTCTCTCTGCTCCTGTGTGTGCATTGAGAAGTTAGTCGTGCACGCTCGCGCTCTCTCTCTCTCTTTTTTTTTTTTTTTTGGTTAGAATTTCATTGCTGTGGATTTAAGCTCCCTTAATACTTCCTAACTTCAGCTGGAAATGTTTCACTGATACTTTTGGAACTTCCCTTTTGTACATCTTGTACAAAAGGGACCAACGTTACTCCTTTTCTAGTCCTGACCATGTTGTCTGTGCACGTTCCTGATTATTGGCACAGTGAATTAAATTCAGGTGAACAAGATTCAAGATGTTCCCATATTTAAAACATCCCCCTCCCAAGACAACAAGTCAGTTAAAAAAAAAAAAAGCCATTTCCTTCAGAACCTGATTACAAAGGATTATTAAGTAGAATAACTTTGCCCTGAAGAGTTATGTTTAACTCTGCAAGACAAATGGTCCCTTTCTTAAAGTGTAAAATAATTTGTTAGCTCTTAATTTGATCTTCTAGAATTAGCATGTAAAGCAATTTTCTCTTTTCTGTCAGTGCAATAAATCAATCCTTTATAGACAGAAATGTTGTTTATACCCTCTGGGGGGGGGGGGGGGAGGGACAGCACATGGAAGCTAGAGTTCTTCTCTATGGCTTTGTTTTAGACAGTAGAAATCTATCTTCAGCATCTTGCATACTGTAGCTCTTTCTCTTACATGCAGTGGGTAAAATGCATAACATACTTCCTCTGTAATTCCTCTCTCTTTGAATTGCCTGATTTAGGGAGCAGAGCTCTCTTTTAACACCCATTTGCTCACATGGTAGAAGTTTGCTTTAATTAATTTCCAGTGGACTAAACTCATCCCTGTTGTATCAATGCACTGACTCCAGTCAAGATACACTAGGAATAGATTTAGCCCAATATATCTTGTTTTTATGGGGGGGAGGGTTTTTTGAATTTCTTTAACTTCTGCCTAACTGTCCAAATCCCCTTCATCTGACCCAACGGTAGATAAGTTTTACCATATTAAATGGGAGATTTTTTTCTTGCTCTTTGCATCAGAGTGGGCCAAATTCCTCCTTCTCAGTCATACCAGCATCAATCCGGAGCAATTCAACTGTGCAAGGAAACCCAGTGCAACTCTACTTTGCAGAACCGCTGTTCTATCAAAGCTGCCTCCCTGGGATGCTTTTGCAGAGTGAAATAAATGAAGCACATGCTTTGCATTTGCACAAGCCCCAAACAATTGGTGGAGGGTGCCCTTTCATTGAGCTAATCCAGAGTAAAAATAAAACCCGGCAGTGGTATTTGTAGCTGGGCCAAAGGAAAAGGTTCCCATACAACTTTCTTTCTTTTTTTTTTTTGGGTGCCCTTTAATTTTATTTTTTTGGTAACTACAGTGCGAACATGACCATCACTTTTTCTTGAGACTCCCCTCGCTGCCTTTTCCTTTATGCTTTGCAAAATGAGCCCGGCTCCCCTGAATCTCGGGAAAGAAAGCAGCTATTCGCCGGTTTATAAAAGAAAGTGCATGAGCCTTTTGATGTTCTCCTGGAATATCCAGGCTCCAGTTCAAAGCCTGGTGGGGCAAGGGGGGGATCCGTTTGCTTTGCCTTGAAATGTCCAGTCGCATAAAGCGCCAGTTGGATCTTTTGTTCCCCAGAAGGGGCCTCCAGGAGAGAGAGGAGTGAGTGTGCACGGGGGGAAGAGAGGGATCGCTGGCCCCGGTGCAGGGGAGGCAGTAATGTTCATGCCTGTGTGTTTGCAAAGAGCAAAGGGAGATGCTGACAGATCCCTGATAGATGTGCAAGATGGCGCAAGCCCATTCCAGCCTCTCCAGCCACCAATTGTCTTAGGCAGCGCTCGCACCATGAGGATCTAGGTTGGCTTCCAACCACCCCCCCCTTTTTCCATTTCGGTGCTTTGGAGCTATTTTGGGGGGCCCTGAAACCCGCTTTTGAGGGGGCTGATTCTCCCCCCCCCCACACACCACTCCAGCTGGATTTCCCCCCGGATCGCAGAGGAGGAGAGACACCAGCCACACCAAAAGTGGATCCATGGCTTCCCCCGGCTCTCCTCTGCCGGCCGGCGTGTTCGGATTCCTGCTGCTCGCCTTCGCGGGAGGTAAGCGGGGATCCCTCTCCTGCCTGCCCGGGGGGTTGGGCGGGGGGAGGGACCCACGCTGGGGGGTGACCCCCCGCACCCCATTCCATCTACCCCGGCTCCGACCTGTCTCTCGCCGGCTCGGAGCGTGTTGCTGAGCCGCTTTCCAGAAGGGGCAGGAGCCCCTCTGTGGCTGGGGCATTTATTTGCACCCGGACACTGGGTGCCTGAATTTCTACCTGGCTCTAAACGGGGGGATGTCGGCGGAGGGGGGGGGGCACCAGCGCTGATCCAGCCACACACTCCCCGCCTGTGTTTTGATTTTCCTGGCTGCTTTGCTGGGAGCACATGGGTCTGTCAACAAGCTCCTTTCCCAGCAGGGAAATTTGCCAAGCAGCCGTGAATACTACAGTATCGCTGCAAACGGGTCGCGCTCTCTCTGCACCCCCCCCCCCTCTCTGGGGCCAGGCAGCACTTGCTGGCTTGGTTGCTATATTTTCTCCACTTTGGCAGTTCGTTATTCGAGGCAGACTCGCTCTTTTCGGGGCTCCAGCCAGCAGCTCGAGAGTCACGGCAGTTACATGGGGAGCTGAATTCCTGAAGCTCAGTGAGGCTCATCCTTGCACTGAAATGCCCTTCTGATTTCATTTGGGTCTGAGTCATTCTGAAACCGGGCCAGAGATCTGTAAGCGATATTCTGAAGCACCGAGTAAACTTTTTTTCAACACACACACAGAGGCAATTTATATTCTGCATTAGCATCCCCATGTTTGCAAAGTTCGACAGGATTTCCCCTTCCAAGCGGGCTCTTATGCGGGGGCGGGGGGTATGCTGGAAAACTGCAAGCTAAGCCATTTAAAATGTTCTCTGCCCAGGTGTTTGAAGTTTAAATCTTGATTGGTGTCAGTGGGGAAGATTGTGTGTAGCTGTGTAGATTGGAAAGAAGGGGGGGTATACAATTAAATAATGGGGGATTCCCCCTCCCCCACAGATGTTCCTATAGAATTTTCTGATGGCCTGTCAAATTATAAACCGGATTAATTGGAAATGTTCCAACTATTTCAGAAATGCTTTATGTTTAATTGGAAGAAAGAAAAGAATCCCCCTGCATATAGATTCAGAATAGACCCCATGGCATTCATTATCACTGATAGGAATTAACGCTGGTGTTACTGAGTGATCTGTGATTGCAGTGGTGTTTGCACCATTACTATTTAGAATTCACACCTGGAAGATATACACACACTGGGGTGTGTGTGTGTGGGATGAATCCTACCATAAAATGCACAATCCTTGTCAGTGGAAATGATAGCTAACAGGGTAGAAGTTATAGTGAAAGTTACAAGGGAAACAGCAAACTATTTTAAACCTACAAGTGTTATGCTTTCATGTAATGCTTGGCTTCGGTTCACACAAATGCCAACACAACCAGTAACACCCCCATAGGTGTAAGGCTGAACTACAAAAACATCAAAGGGATTTTCCCCTGGACCTATCACAAACCCTGCTGATAAATTGTAACATTTTCTCCCTTAGTCTGGGTGCCCTTAAAATACAAAATCAATGTAAAAACAGAACCAAGAAAGGCAAGTGATCTTCTTTGGCAAAGGTGGAAAAATTCTCTCTTTTCTCTCTTTCCCCCTCCCCGGTTCGTGGAGGAACCTGAACGAAATACGGTACAAGTTGTTTGAGAAACAGCTTAGCCTTCTCAGAACAGGAGAATAGTGTTACACTTAATCTGGGTGTATGAAAAATGATTAGGAAACCAGGGTGCTGGGTTATTACAGTAATAAACCTGCTGTACAGTTCTTAGCAGCCAGTGGTGGAAGAAGTGTGTGTAGCTCTTGGAAAATATAAAAACAGTGATGAATTGAACAGTAATGAGACAGGTCTCCTTATTACAATCAGCCTGGTATGATTTCTGGATAGATAATAGTGCAATTAAGGTGATTGAAATAATGCTTGGGGTGTTTTTACCTCTTTTTTTTTTCCTTGCAAGTTATTGAAAGTTTAACCTTCAAAAATCAAGCTCATTATTAGTTTATTGTCTACTGATCTCTTAGATGGGCATCATGTTTTCGTTTGTATTGCAGTGTGTAGTTGTTTTGGTGACTTTGTGGTATGCTTTCGTGGTCCTTCTTAGGAACATTTGGCTGCGGTTTAAAAGGTGGTTGTTGTTTTTTCCTTCTTATTCTAGGATTTTTTTCTCCCTCAATAGGCTTAACACTGTAGAAACAGTGAGTGTAAGTTTCTGTGGCCCGCTGAATTTAATAAAACGTTCTATGTGTATGTCAATCAGTAACTCAATAGAAACCTTTTCCACTGTGAGGGAGACTGTGACTCATAGGTTCTGCATAGAGGAGGTAGTGTGTCATGTTGGGCTTTCTTTTTCTCAGGATGCTCTCTCTTTTCATTACATAATGCTTGAGTTCCATCCTCCGTGTTTTTCAAACTTTCCAAAATTAGTGCAGGCTGCCTCTTAAATAAACCAAGTGAAAGCTGAACCGGCTGGGGGCTCAGTTCATGGGATCTGGGTTCAGCTTCAAGACAGTATTTCCTCTTTTTTTTAATTTCCTGGAGTTCTTTGTTCTGGGTGATGGACAGCTTTTGTCTGTCATTGCTGAGCCCTACATTCAAAGAAAGGCACAGGATATGAGATGCACCCAGGTTCTGCTTAGTAACAGCCTTGGAATTAAATGTTGTCATTTATATTTAAGTAGGCTTAACTTTTAAATTATTGAAGCTATAAGCTTTCGCTAATTCCTATTCTACATGGCTTTGTGTTTTTTTTAATGTGAAAAGGGATTGCTTTCTCCTAAATTGGCATAAGACCCTGTCTTTTCTCTTAAAATACATACAGGGTATCTGGTATCATTTCCCTCATAAAACTCAAAGACAATATATGAAATTCAAACCTGCATTCAGTCTTTGTTTCGTTCAGGGAGTTCAGCTTGAGAATGTGTTTAAGTACTAAGAGCTGATCAGTTTTCATTTACAATCAAAATCTCATGGTTAATAAAATGACAGCAAGGGTTGTCTAGCAATAACAAAGTTACATGTAAAATCCGAGAGTGCTGAAAAGAGAGTGTAGAGTATGCCTGCATCTCCGTATTGTGTAACTATACAATGATTGTTATTGTAATAACATCATTGTTGAGATCTCATGGTATCAGGGTGCCTATTATTATTTAATATTTATATGTCAATGGCACCTAATGGCTAATGCAGATAGTGCCCCATTGTATTAGGTGCTGTACAAACATATAGTCAGTCCCCGACCCAAGTTGCTAGATGAGACTCTGCATAATGGTAATACAGATAGAAATTTTATACATCTTTCTAATCTTTTTTTCCTGGTCTTTATTACGTATCAGCCTGCCGTCCTCCTACACCCAAAACTCCCTGTGAAGTCCATTGGGAGTTCAGAGCATGTAAAGAATACAGATTTGGGCCCAGGGTCTATATTACAATCCTGACTCCTCGCCCGACCCCCCCTCCATTTCTACACCAGTGTGACTCCACTGGTGTCATTTACATGGCATATGTGAGAGCAGAATCAGGCTCCCAGCAGTAACTTCTGTCAAATGGCAGAGAAGGCGTTTTTATGGTATACGTACAAATGAGGAACTGTCTTTTTTCCTTCGCACTGACTTTACTTTTCTGATTTCCTTCTTTGTGCCTGGAATTTCTCTCTCTCTTCTCTTCCCCTTGGAGCATGCTGAGTGCAGAGCACGGACCCCATGCAGCACCAGCCCCTTCACAGCTATGCTCCGCAGATACTTTAGAAGCAGTTCCATCGAGTGTGTGCTCCTTTATCCCCCCCCCGCCGCCCCCCCCCTGTGCGTTCGCTTCCCCACTGCCTAAAAGTAACTCCTTTGTCTGAAGTGTTGAGATCAAGAGAGCCTGGCTTTATCACCATGGCGCACCATTGACATTCAGAGGCTGGCTCCTACTCCCATTGAAGTCAATGGGAACTTTCTTATTGACTTCAACGGGAGCAGGATTGGGCCCGAGCCGTGCGGTTTCTGTGTGAGGAGCAGCATGTCAGTATAGCTCCATGCTGAGCTTCTGGCTTTTTCCTGTTGAAAGCAGAGAGCTAATTCTGCATTGATTAGAGAGCATGCCATGCATTTCATTTTGCAGATTGTAACAGCCTCAGAACATGAGCGGCTTTCTGGTTTTTTGACCCATAATATCACCCTTTTATTTGATCCAACCAGACAAGCCAGGCAAACCTTTTTCAGATTAAGAATTTTAATTTAAATTCGCCTATATCCAAATGCGGTGGGAGGGGAAATAGTCAATTCAGAATTACTTTGGAATCACCAACTTATTTGAACTTTACTGGAGCTTGTCGTTTTACAGAGTTTGGAAACTAATAAATTACAGAGCAGAGCTCATGAAAACCTACCCAGTCACTTTATCCAAAAGAATATGAACATTTTGGTTTTTCAAGGAAATAAAAATAATTGTTGACACATGTTCAGGAGTCACTGGCAAGCATATAAACCCAATGTTTAAGGGGCAGACATGTCAATAATTGCACTTTAAAAGAAGAGCGAGGCAAGCAGGCTGACATATTGGGAAAAGCACATAGCTACTAATCTGGCGTTGCTATTATATCAGATGTCACTGTCCCACCGCAGCCTGCACTTGAGTGGAGCCTAGACACTTAACAGTCCAGACCTGCTGCTGCTGCTTTAGTAATTTAAAACCGGAGTTTCATAGCCGAGGAAAGGATTTGTTTCATTTTTGCTCATTGTTTTGATGAAGCTAATCGTAAAACAAAAGTTGGGATTTTTTTTTTCTTTCTTGGGCAGAAGCTGGGATTGGACGATAAGGGACGGATCGCTGGATAATTGCCCTGCTCTGCTCTTTTCCTCTGAAGCATCTGGCACTGGCCACTGTCGGAAGACAGGATACTGGGTTAGATGGACCATTGGTCTGACCTAGTATGGCTGCTCTTTTGTAAACCGATGCTTTTGCCGAAAGAATCTTTGCAGCTCAGACCCATGCAATGA